AAAGATATCAAAAAAATATAATATCGAGATGATTGTTCATAAGTAGTGTCAGTGTCTTCAATCAATGATATAGTATCATACAAGAAATCTGCAAATATTTTAGGAAGTTTTAGTTGAAATTTATCAAATTTTCCTTCTATGCAGTCTGACATGCAATTGCAACAACCACACATGCATCAGAAATGAACAGCTTCACTTCCTTCTGTAATATTGAAGAACAACTATGCATGTTTCATAACAATATAAAATATTGTTTCATTGAAAATTGTGCCATAATGAATGTGCATCCATGAACTCATGAGAATAAATTGTTAATAATTATAAAACATGTACCTTTAAAAAGGATTTCTACGTGTGCATGCATTATGAGTCAAGAGTTGCAGGCAATGTACATTTATTTTAGATATTTAGCATGGGCCCTGTCTGATAAAAGAAATTCTTGCACATTAGCTTTTGCTCTTTCAAGTTCATCTGGATAATCTTCACAAACTTGTACAATATTTCTCCAGGTCACATCATTATTGGAGTGTAGCCATTTTTTAAATACTTTAATGAGATTGATAGTAGTAACTTCTGGATTGTGTGAGAGGTCATCCACTTCAACATCAAGTGCAGTACCAATGATCATATAATGAGCAGCAGAACTTTTGAATAACCTAAGGAGGTCACTCTTTTCAGGCTTCTTGTCTAACAGGAGGTCTGTAGCAAACAAAACTACACTAAAAATAATATTAAACTCAATACTAGCTTACTTTCATCTGATGCATGACCTTTCATTTGCACTGCATTAGCAGCTGAAGGCATATCATCCATTTTTGAAGCATTTCCTATGCACAAAATGAATATTTCTACTTAAAAATACCAAAGTCAGTCCCTACTACCCTTGAGAAAACATGCCTCATACAATTTACCTTCAAATGTAATGTTGAGTCCTACAGTAGTACATATGCTCATCCATTTCTTCTTTATCATATCACTAGCCTCAGCTACTGGGCCTCCAACACCAGACAAAGCTGTCAAAAACTTTACACAATGTTCTTCAATATCAGAATAGTTATCTTTTAACTTCATTCCATTAATAAAAGATCCAATGATTGACTCATATGTAGGTTCTTTTTGAACAGCTTTGTCTACAATATTTACAGCATTCAATGCTCTGGCAATGCCCTTAAGTGTGTCTTGTGTTTCCATGAATATATCGTGCAAAGTAACTTGATTTTCTCTGAGTACAATTTCAAGCTTTTTCTTTACTACAAAATAATGTCTCAATTTTAAAATAATATAAATCATAATTCTTATACTTTTATTTAGTGACTGATCATTATCTTTCTCTATTTGTGTTCCATTATTACTCTCATCAGGTCCTATACACAAGTGATAAATTATAAATAATAATTATTAGTATACACATACCTTGTGCATCATTAAACCAGGTCCAGTAGTCATTGCTAATATCAGGAGATTGACCACAAACTGTACAATCAGCTACTCTATGGTGATCTTCATTTACAATACAATAGCAGCTCTCATTGTTAGGGCAAGCAAATGCATTGACATAATTATGCTTGAGGTGCATGGCATCACTGCTATTATCAATAGCTGTTGTGAGTAGCTTACGTACTAATGGACAGTGCTGGGTAGGACCAGTAAAGTACACTTCAATATGAGTGTAACGGTTGATGAGGTGAAGTGTGTGCTTTGATGTGATCGTTATCTTGAGAGACATGGCATCTCGAAATTTGTAATACTCTTGTGTCAATGGAGAGATTTTAATAACATATTCTTCCTGGTTGAGTAGGTGTACGATGGTTAAAGGGAACAATCCTATA